ATTGTTACATTAACTCATTCCTTTCCAATTAGAAGCTGAAGTATACATGGCGTGTTTAAAAGTTCATAATACAAATAATGATATCTTACATACAGCCAATACATACATACATGCAAAAGTGTCCTGAGACCTATACTGCCCCACACTGTATGTGTTATTTCCTTTTATTTTATTTCTTCTTATTCTTATTCTTATTCTTACTATTATTATTATTATGTATTTATTTATTTTTTTCTTTCCACCCCTGTGCTTTCCCCTACCCCCCAGCCAGTCTAGATTGCATTGTGGTGCTTTAGGGATGCTTTTACATTTGTTTGAACAAGGGTTCCCATGTGTCATTGAATGTTTCTAATTTTCCATTTATTTTGTAGATGAGCCTCTCATAGGAGGCAGTCTCGGACATTGTTGTGAACCACTCTGTATATGTGGGGCACTCTGGTGCCTTCCAGTACTTCAAGATAACTCTCTTTGCTGCAGTAAGGGCTACTTTTACAAATGTTACAGTATTAGAAGTTTTTTCCACTTTCACAGTGAACTGGTTTAAAATACATACTGTTGGTGTGGGGTGGATCTCTACTCGTAGAGCAGCGCTTAATTTGGTTGTTATTTTCTCCCAATAGGCTTTAATAACTCTGCATGAGAAAAGCATATGTATTAAGGTCCCTGTTTGCGAGTTACATCTCCAGCAGAGAGAGGAGCTTCTCAGCTTTGCTCTGTGCATTTTAACGGGTGTCCAGTAAAGTCTATTCAATATTTTGAACTGTATTAGTTTTGATCTTGCATCCCTCATAGGGGTCAGCATATTTTTCACCAATGTGGCCCATTCTTCCCTTTTAAACTGTATTTGAAAATCTTTTTCCCAAACCTTTTTTAGCCCAGTGTTAAGGTTGTTCGCTTCCTCCATTAAAAAGGTGTAGAAGGAGCCCACTGAGTTTGATGATGCTTTTATTTGTTTAAATTTAGTTTTAATCAATGACTCAGAGAAAAAGGTGTTCAGCCTTGAGATTTTCTGGAGGCAATTTCTAAGTTGTAGATATTTCCAAAAGTCTTTGTTATTTAGGTCAAATTGTTGTTTTAGCTCCTCAAAGGATTTCATGAATTTATTAAAGTAGAGGTCTTTAATATGTTTTATTCCTTTGAGATACCAGTCTTTCCAGAAATAAGTTCTTTCTCCTATCTTTAAAAGTGGATTATGCCATACTGATGCCGCTCTTGACAAAAAGGGGGATATTGCCTTGCTTTTATGGAGTTGTTGCCAACAATCAATAGTATGGGTAATAATTGGGTTTTTTAAATAAAGGGATGGGCATTGGCTTAAGTATTCTTCTGGATTGAACGGTGTACTGATTTCCGCCTCCAGATTTACCCATGCCGGTCTATTTGGTCCATCACTCAATATACATGCGATTTGAGAGCATGTAAATGATTGTTTATATAGTTTTATATTAGGCATTCCAAGCCCTCCAAACTCCGTTTTCACTTGCAGTCTCTTCAAGTTCATTCTGGGCTTCTTATTTGCCCAAATGAATTGAGTAAGTGTTTGGTCGAGGCTGTTCAAAGTACTTGCTGGGATGTTAAGTGGAAGCATACTAAACAGGTAATTTAGTTTGGGTAGTACAACCATCTTTATAGCTTGAACCCTTCCCCATAAGGACAGTTGCAGTTTATCCCATTTTTTAATAAGTTGATGGATCCTATTCAAGACGGGATCCAAATTGTATGGCATTATTTTGTCCAGCCCCATGCTCAAATAGATACCAAAGTATTTTATTTTTTGTGGTACCCAACGGAAATTCCACATTGTGAAATCGCTTTCACAGCAGAGGTTTGATAATGCCATGATTTCACATTTGTCCCAATTTACCCTGTAGCCAGAGATGCTAGAGAATGAATTAACTAATTCCAAAAGTGGTGGAATGGAAAATTTTGGTTCTGATAGTAAGATAAGCACGTCATCCGCAAATATTGATAATTTATGCTCTATTCCTGCCATTTGTATGCCTTGTATTTCCTTCTTAGCTCTCATTGCTACAGCAAGGGGTTCCAGTGCAATTATAAAGAGGTGTTTTGTACCGCGTTCAATTTGAAAAGGGGCTGATCTGAGGCCATTTGTTGTAACAGTGGATGTTGAATTATTGTATAAAGAATGTATAATTTTCTGAAATATTTTGCCGAAGCCAAACCTTTCTAAAACATTATGCAAATAACCCCAGGAAACCCGATCAAAGGCTTTCTGGGCATCAATAGAAATTGCCGCGGTTGGTTTGTTCAGATGTTTGGCCTTCCAGATTAAGTGGAGAAGTCTCCTCACACTGTCTGAGGATTTCCTTCCTTTTACAAACCCCACTTGGTCAGGGTGTATAAGTTCTAATAAGATTTCGTTCATTCTGTTTGCTAATATTTTTGTAAATAATTTCCCATCACAGCACAAAAGGCTAATTGGTCTATAGTTGTTGCATTCCAAAGGGTCTTTGTCCTTTTTATGAATAAGTGTGATAACTGATTCGGACATTGAGTTAGGAAGCTTACCTGAAGAAATAATGTTGTTAAATGTTAGTAGGAGCTCTGGGCTCAACTCTTCTACAAAGTTTTGATAGAATTCATTGAAAATGCCGTCTGAGCCCCCTGCTTTACCTTTGGGAGAAGCCAAAATAGCTTTTTTTACTTCTTCTAGTGTTATTGGGCTTTCTAAGTGTCTTGCTTTCTCTTCTGAGAGTTTTGGGAGATTTAGAGAGTCAAAGAACCTTTCTGTTAAGTTGTTATCAAACTCTTTTTCTTGACAATATAATTCCTTATAAAAATCCTTGAAGATATTATTAATGTTCCTTAAATCTGTGATTACTTTTCCATCTTTGTCCCGTATTCCACTTATTTGTTGAGCAGAGTGTTTTGATTTTAATTGGCTTGCTAGGAGTTTGCCGGCTTTATTGCCAGACTCGTACCACTTTTGTTTCAGCCTGTGAAGGGAGTGTTCGGCTTTTTGGGAGTAAAGATTATTTAATTCATATTTTGCCCTGACTATTTTAGTTAAGATTTGGTTATTGTTTGGGGACATCCTGTATTCCTTTTCCAAGTATTTAATTTCCGATTCGTGCCTAGCTACTTTAAGTTGTTCTTCTTTTTTTAAGATTGTTGTTTTCTGCATAAAAATGCCTCTAATAAATGCCTTAAATCCATCCCAGATATAACTTTGCTCTGTGGATCCATTATTTACTTTGAAATAAAATAATATTTGGTCTTTAATGTAAGAAACAAACTCCTCCTTATCGAAGAGACTTGTATTCATTCTCCATATATAATCTCTTTCTCCTTTCAGTTCCAATGAGAGGCCTAGCTCAATCGGAGCGTGATCTGTAATTCCCATTGTACTAATGTTACAATAGGTTACACATTTCATAAAAGGGTGGGATACTAAGAAATAGTCTATACGAGAAAAAACGTTATGTCTATTTGAGAAAAAGGTGTAGTCTCTTTCAGTTGGATTCAATATTCTCCAAATATCTCTTAGACCCATATCTTTGCATATTATTTTTAAAGCGTCTTGTGTCTTAGAGGGCCTAGTGGTATATTTGCCACTTCTATCTAAGAAGTTATCCAACACTTCATTGAAATCTCCACCCCATACCATTGGGAAGTCTCCAAAGTCCAGTAAGGCAGACTTGACTTTGTAGAAAAATGGAGGGTCTTCTTCATTGGGTGCGTAAATGTTTGTCATTATGAATTTTTTATTTAATATATCTACCAAAATGATAATAATTCTACCCTCTTGATCTTTATATTCCTTTAGTATTTTGACATTCAGGTTTTTTGAAAATATTATGGCCACCTCTCTTTTTTTCTGATTAAAAGTATTGTGTACCGCACAGCCTAACCATCTGTCACTCAATAATTTGATGTGTTTCTCTGTCAAGTGTGTTTCTTGCAGCATGACAACATCAGCCTTCTTCTGCTTTATGTAGTTGAATATTTTATGCCTTTTAACTTGTGAACCTAAACCATTAACGTTCCAGGAAAGTAACTTTAGTCCCTTATTGGTCATTAATATGGTTGCTTTGAATTTTCCGTCTGACCCCCATCTGCTCCCTGTTACAAAGTGCACTTAATACATACAGACTGGCCTGGTGTTCCCTGTATTCCCCTAAACATACCCCCCCCCCTCCCACCCTAGTGAACTCTACCATAATTCCTGTGATGTGCTCTTCTTTGGCTTTCGAGTGACTCCCTCAGCATTATTGACAGCTGATTAAGAAGAAAAGAAAATAACTACATTTGCCTATTTTTATGTCTAAATTGACAAGGTTCTCAGTGCCGATTGAATAAGAATGTCATGGCCTAGCTAGAAGTAAACGATTTAAAAAAAAAAAAAAAAAAAAGATTTGGGAGGAGAAAATAATAATGGATAATAAAATAGAATAAATAAAGAAATTACTAAAATAAAAAACAAAAAAGAAAATTAAGTTATAATTAATCATATACATACACCCTCTCGCACATACAAAATAAATAAAGTAAAAAAAACTTTATTTTTTTTTTATAAAAAAAAGTTAGAAACAAGACAAATAATAGTCGTAATAATAATAATTAAAACAAGTAAAAACTAATTATAAGCATCCCATCTGAACATGCATGGTTTTTTCTTTTCTTTTTTTTTCTTTTTCTTTCCCCTCTTCTTTAAAGAAAAGTGCCGAAATTATGTAGCAGAACTAAAAGAATATATTAAGCACATAATGAAAACAAAAATAAGGTATTATCTAGAATAGAGTAAAATAAATAATCAGATTAATTGAAAAAAGTAACTTTAATAAAGGTCTGGGCCTATGAACTAAATAAGACGTCTTTCCTTTTGTCTTAGACTGTTCCATCTATTTGAAAGAGTACATATATGTCACTTAAAGTCAATCCAGGTCTTACTTGCTCTTTTCCCCTGGTTGATGATTTTCCACGGCCCTTTTTGCTGCTGCGGGATCTTCAAAGCGTTGGCGACTCTCTCCGATGTTAATCTAAAGTACTGCGGGGTACTGCATTGAGTAGCTCAACTCTTTCTCCGCACAGGCGCGTTTGACATCGTTAAAGCTCCGTCTCTTTTCCTGTACTTCTCTGGTGAAGTCCGGAAAAAAGTCTATTTGAGCGTCTTTCCAATGGAATTTACCGATGCTCCTTGCTCTATTGCGGACCTTTTCCCTGTCCGTGAAGCGCAGAAATCTTACCACGATGTACCTTGGGAGCGCGTCTCGCTGGTCCCGTCTGGGTCCTGTGGGCACCCGGTGGGCTCGTTCAATGAGTATGTCTTCTGTAGATTGTTCCGTGTCTTTAAACAGGTTTTTTAGAATGGCTTGAACGCATTCCATCTCGTTTTGCCCGTTGCCTTGGTCCTCTGGTACTCCTCTAAGTCGTAGGTTGTTCCTTCTGCTGTAGTTCTCATGATACTCCACTCGCGTCTGTAGTTGGTTTACAGTTTTGATCAAGCTCTGGACTTGGTCTGTCAAGAGATTATTGTCATCTTCGAGATGTGAGACCCTATCCTCTGCCTCTGTTACTCGAGATTCCAACTTTACTAGTTTCGTAGTCAGTATATCCATCCCCTCTTTCACAGCCAACACATCTGCACCTACTTTACGAATTTCCTCTTGCACACCGTCTGTCATGCGGCGCATCTCTTGTACGTCATCATGGAGCATACGGCGCATTTCACGCAAAAAGTTTACACTTTCAATGGAGCGCACACTCGGAAAATCCTCATTATAGTCCCCCTGATGTGGATCGTCAGGTGCCGCGCGTGTGTCTTTATCATTCATTTCGTGTGCTGTATGTTCGGAGCATGCCGTGGAGTCCAACGCTGAGGCCTCGGGTAACGGCGTGGCCAAGAACTAATCTATTTTATGGCTTGTAGAATTCTTGTTTTTTCTTGTTTTGGTCATTTTTGAGCGCAGTAAGACTGAATTATATGTTTGTGCGTCATGTCAAGTACACTACGTTGACCTTAACAAACTCTGGACCAATATACTAACGTGGGGAGTTGTGAATGTGTTGTGAGTGTATTGTGAAATGAGGAGTGAACGAGGAGGGCTGAACGGAGAATGGAATAACAAATGTTTTCCTGTAATGTTTTAATGTGATCATGGAATAATTATTTTTTGTCAACAGCATACGGTGTAAGTACTAGAGATTCAAAGATAACAAGCTTTATTGAACAGGTGTAAAAGTGAGAGTACTCTGGGATGAGTACTCTGAGAAAGTACTCTGCGGAGAGTACTCTGAGATGAATACCTTGCTGAAGGTACTGGGAGTCCCTCCCTCTGCTGTTTGTCCTGACAGTGATTCGGTCCAACCGCAGTGAGTGGTCATTGGGCGGAGGACAACTGTGGTTTGTAACTCACATTGTAACTCACAGCCTCTGCCCTGATGTCACACACCATCTGTCAATGCAGTTATGTTTTGCCCAATTGGAAAAAGATTGACAGGCCGCACAATGCGAAGAGAGGGAAGTGGGCATTTCTTGTGTTCTAATGTTTCTTTTTCAGATGAAAGATAAACTGCACCTGCTTCAGGGATGACACAGTAGCACGGATCATGACAGGAAATGAGCCTCTACGTTGGCACCAAAGCCCACAATACGAATTGAGGACGATCCGGGAGGAAGCAACTGGAGATGATTGGAACAGTAATCTACACACCCACACAGACGCATGTTTTATACTTGGCCCACGACCAAGAGAGGGAGTATTGTAATGTTATTGTCATAGGTGGTCATGGTCCCTAACCTTCTAAATCATTAGAAAGAAGTGTAAAACATATATTTACAAGAACAAATAAATAATAGAAAGGGCAGCCTAAAAGCAAAATGGGAAAATTATTAAATAATTTTGGAGTTGCCAAAATAAAATAAAATTCTTTATTTGTCCCATAGGGGGTCATTCTAAATTTAGTGTTGTGCAAATTCAAAAGGAGAAATAATAGCGCTTATAACATCAAACAGATCTACTCTTTAAGATAATAGATCATATAATAATAATAATAGAATAGAATGAAATAGTCTGGAGCTATAATGTCATTGGATTCAAGGAGCTATAGGTTAAAAGGTCGCTAAGAAGAGGTGTCAAAATAAACAATAGTAATAATAGTTAGACTAGTGAATAATCAAAATAGTTCTATTGTGAAAATAAGTATCAATAAGGTCAAATTGTTCTAATAACTAAAGTAAAAAGGGATCAAATAGAGTCAGATTTTAGATGCTTCTGTTTTCCACATCTGTAGGATCTAGTGCAGATGTGTTTAAAGAGAGTAGTATTAAAATACAGACATAGAACAACAGGCGTTAACAAATTTTTAATCTAAAAATAGCCCAAATATAACATTGCTTTTGACGCAGCCTCTGAGCTGCTCCATTGGAGAACAGGTTAAATGTTATTGTTTATTACAAACAGCTGATGTATTTACACATATTAAGTTTGGGACAACTCTTTAAACAGTTATAAGCAGCGGACAGAAGCCATGAATGTGCTTTTGTTTATTAAATAATTAATTTCATAGCCATATAATCGTAGAGGACATTTTAAAAATAGTTCTCTTCCTCCCGCTCCCTTTCAGGCAACTTGATTAGATTCATGTCTTTAATATTGGAGAACTACTGTGTTGTTTTTGGAATTGTTTGAAATACAGTACATAAAAATAGTGATTTGCAGAACAAGAACCAGCCAATGAAAAATCATCTATTGCCAATGCTATTGCTACAACTAAAACCACAACTGTGACCAAATGTAATAAATGTTAAGTGTTCAGTCTGGCAGACAAAAAGGTTGACTTTTAGTCTGGGAGACTGAGCAACTGTTAAAATGGTTTAAAAAGACAAAGTATGAGTATTTCAGCGTTTTGGTAGATGTTAAATAGTAGGAAAAAAGTAGATAAAGTTCATTACAGTTCATGCACAGTTCTATTAGATACTTGTCAAATTCACTTGTTTCAAACATAGGTGAATGTTGACAATGCAAAAAGTTCATGAGTGTAGCTTAGATTAATGAGATGGATGAATGAGATAGATTAGAACCAGCACAGATTAAAAAAAAAAACATTTAAAAGCATTTTAATGTATTTGGGTATAGCACAAAAGTACATATTTAGGTATTTTTGAGAATTTTAAGAGCTGTCAATTTGTCAGCAGCAGATTAGAAAATCAAATACCGTTGTAGAGGGGCTGACCCCAGAGAAACCTGCTAAAATAGATTAGCTCCTGTAAGGATAATACCAATTTGATTAACGATGTACATTTATCCCAAACTGTCTGAGAGGAGGAAGTGACAGCACTTCCTGGCACAAAGCCACTGTTAATGAAAGCAAACCACAGTATAGACAGATTTATTAGATAAAAACATATGTTTAAGAATATGGCTCAATAAAAGCAAATATGCAAACATATTTGTAAATAGATTAGAATAGTTTAAACCATAGTGAATAGATTCAGTGCATACATTACAGACGAGGTTGATGAAGAATCAGAATGACACAGCAGTAGTCATCAAAATAGTATTGAAGGAATGGTTAAAATGTGGTTTGTTGTGTGTTGTATTCTTTCTGTATTAACTCTTCACAGATATCGAGCCTGGACTAAGCACAAGTATTGATGATAAACGACGATGTGGATGTGACCTATTTATGAAAGGTCAAGAGAGGGAATAATGCATCATCTCAAGAAATGCTGCACACGTCGTTTATATTTTCAGTGATTTTATATTAAGTGGGGCCTAGTCAGAGTCGGCCAGACCATGTGAGGAATGCAGAGCTCCCCCAGCCAGATAAGAGTTGTTTGGAGAAGGAGATTGATGTCAGACCAGACCAAGACTAGACCAGACAAAGTCCGGAGTCCATAGGCTGGCTGGAGTACGCACCTCCCAAAACCAGAAAAAGCTGGATCAGGCTGGACTAGTCTGGGACCTGTGACGTCATCGGACCTTCTGATAGAAACTGCTGGGAGGAGATTTTCAGTCAGTCAGCACAGGGCCAGCGAGGGACAGCATAGCATAGTTTAGGAGCTCTTTTGTTGAATATTCTGTATCTGATTGTAAAGATAAATTAAATGCAGATATTAAACTTGGATATCTTCGTCTGATTTCTGTACCAAACTTTGAACACGTCAGTCAAATCTTTTTTGACAACACTACACAGTTGCTCGCGATGATTAGGAGGATCGACTTGACCGCAGCCATGGTGAAAATGGCCAACGAAATAAATTCAACAAGGTGCAGATGAATGGGACCCCCTCTGATTTGTTCATAACTATGTTCCTCACACGGAGACTTTACCACTGATTCAGTGGAAATTCTACAGCGAGCGGTACCAGGACTAACAGACCACTGCGCTGTCAGGGGACAGGTATAGTAAAATATACGTGAGCCCTTATTTTAACTCCCTTATGTTTTCAACCTTGTAAATCGATATTTTCCGTTGCAGGTGTAAAAATTTGGAATTCACAAGAAAACAAGTGGAAAGCTTGTCAAAACATTTAAGATTTAAAGATATATGTTAGTGTATAATACACAATGTCATCAGGAATGCCTGGAGTGATTATATATAAGGAAGTTGCATTTAAAATTATTCATAAATATAATCAAGCAAATCATTATGACAACATTTAAGAGACATTGATGTGAAATGCTAACAGCACATGTTTCAGATGTGATCTCCTGTTATCTTTCAAGGCAATAAAGGATATTTTCATGATTATAAACGGGCCAAATATTTTATTCATAAATGCCAATATAACAAGCAGAAGCCTGCCTTTAGACATGTCTACAATGATGTGTGTGTGTATATGTATATATACATATATGTGTATGTATATGTGTGTCTATCTCTCTATCTCTCTGTCTATATATCTCTCTATCTCTCTCTATATATCTCTCTCTATATATATCTCTCTATCTCTCTCTATATATCTATCTCTCTCTATATATATCTATCTCTCTCTATCTCTCTCTATATCTATCTCTCTCTATATATATCTCTATCTCTATATATATCTATATATATATATATCCATATCCAAAGTTATTGTAGGTATGAGGGTGGGTAATGGGGTAAGTCCGTCACATTATTTCAATGTTGCAGAAAAAGAGGCAGATAAACATAAGAATATTCTTCTTCCCCTCTGCTAGTAATCTTTATTTATATACCGCCTTTTCACTGCACATCGGAGTCTCAAAGCGGTTTCCAATTGTTATTTTTGGGAGTTGGGGTGCCAGTACAGGAGGCACATGCCAGACCTATTGTACATATTTTTAGTGGTAGGGGAAACCGGAGCACCCGGAGGAAACCTACGCAGACACGGGGAGAACATGCAAACTCCACTCAGAAAGGCCCTGGTCCAACCGGGATTCGAACCCAGGACCTTCTTGCTGAGAGGCGAGAGTGCTATCCACTCAGCCACCGTGCCGCCTTTCCAATCATGTGAATGTCTGATTTATGTGTATGTTTTGAAGCTGATAAGTGCTACAGCATTTTTATAAAAGGAATAAATAAACGTTGGAAAAAATGAAATTAACATGAAAGGAGTCATCTAAAGGTTATTACATTTATTCATGGGAGAACATTTATAAATGTTTGAACGGAGGCTCCTAGAACCCCCTTCACCTCGCGGTCCGACTAGAATAGATACACTAATCAGCAGTCTTGCATAGGGGAAGATATTCAGCAAATCTAGACTACGGTTTATATGGCAGCTACAACCTCTAAAAGGTATCAACTTCATTGAAGGTATTCTTGAAAAGTGAGAAACGCACACCCTCTTCAGAAGAACATTTCAGCCAACATTCATTTACAGGGTTTGTACAAGATCCTACTGTCCCCTTTTCACTTAACTCATAGACTGTGCAAACTGGGACAATGACTCAATTATTTCAGATGGCGTACTTGCGGCTATGGAGGAACAGAAGGCGTGAGATGTTCCAGCTGCTCCAAGAAAGCAGTGAGGAAGAATCTGATGTAGATTCCAACAATGAACTGCCTCTGCTCGATGCTGATAAACATGGAACTGCATCTGGTGATGTTTCTGGATCTGATTGTGGGTCTGAAACCGATCTTGATGAGGATGTGTCTGGGACTGACCTCGATGTGGCTGACACCAACCTTGATGGCACCAATGAAGAATCAGAAAATCAAAGTAGTGATTTGGACTTTGAAGATGATCTGAGGGAGTGGGCTGTGAAAAACCAACAAACTCACAAGTCACTCAATGAATTGTTGGCCATATTGAGAAAGAAGGGTCACAAATTGCCGGCAGATGCCAGAACCCTACTGGCTACCCCGCAGGAAACATCAAGCCAGACAAATTGTGGTGGCCAGTATGTTTATTATGGCCTGGAAAGGGGGATTTGCCGTTTGCTGAGCAGGGAGAAGCATCATGAGGCTATCAATCTCAGAATTGACATTGATGGGATTCCCATCTTTAAAAGCAGTGGTCTCCAATTCTGGCCTATTTTAGCCAAGTTTGGCCATTTTGACCCATTTATTGTGGCAAACTTTTGTGGTCAGAAAAAGCCAACTCCCCTGGAAGATTATCTCCATGACTTCTTGTTGGAGTACAATCGCTTGAGGGACTATGGAGTAATTTACAAAGGGAGGTCTTGCTCAGTTTAAATCAAGGCAATTGTGTGCGATGCTCCTGCAAGAGCATACTTGAAGACCATCAAGAGCCACACCTCTTATTCAAGTTACGAACGATGCACCGTGAGAGGAGAGTATACTGAGCGGCGCATTGTGTTCAACAGAGCGGATGACTGCCCACCTCGCACCGACTAAGGCTTCAGCAGGCAGGAATATGACCAACATCAAATCGGCATTAGCCCATTTATAGCCGCTGAAGTTCCTTGTGTCACTGGATTCTGCCTGGATTAAATGCACATGGTGTGCTTGGGTGTGGTTAGGCGCTTGATGGCATTTTTGCTGAATGGCCCCAAAACATGCCGCTTGTCAGTGCGACAGAGAATGGCGATTACAGCCAAACTCTGCCTACTACGTGGTAATATGCCCAGCGAATTTGCCCGGCAACCACGAGGTCTAGATACTCTAGAGCGCTGGAAAGCTACAAAGTACAGGCAGCTGCTTCTATACACGGGTCCAGTGGTGTTGCGAAACATACTGAACCCTGAACGGTATAGACATTTCTTAACACTGACTATTGCCATGTCCATATTACTTGACGCCAATGATTATGTACGGAATGCATACTTGCACTATGCACATGAGCTGTTGAGGCACTTTGTATCATCTTGCCCCGTACTCTATGGCCCAACTTTTTCTGTGTACAATGTGCATGGGCTGCTACATCTACATGAGGATGCCGAAAACTTCGGAAGGTCTCTCAATGATCTGTCATGCTTTCCCTTCTAGAACTACCTCCAAAGGTTGAAAAAAATGGTTCGGAATGGCAGAAATTCTCTCGAGCAGATTAGTAGGCGACTGTCTGAGAGCGAGATTGCTACACCAACACAGTCGACGTCAAGACGCATAATATCAGCAAAGCCAAGAGACCGCTGCTTCCTTTTGAGCAACAATCAACAGTTTGCGTTTGTGCTTGAGAGAAGAGCTGATGGGTCTCTTTTGTGTGAAGTGTTGGATAGGTTTCAAACAGTGCCTTACTTCACGCAGCCATGTAACTCTGCCCTTATTAATATTGTGTACGCTAGAAGGCAAAGCATAAAAAGAAGGGTCATATGGGAGAGTGACTTACAGCGTAAGGTGGTGGTTCTGCCAGAAGAGGGGGGACATGTACCTCTGAGGCATGGCATTGAGCACTGAACATAATTTGTTGAATTTGTTTTTTATGTTGTAATTTATGTTAAATTGTAATCACCCAGCACTTTGCTGCCACCTTTTAATGAGTGAGCAATGATTTGATTTAAATAAACAAAGCTACATCTGTGAGTATGGTACTTTCTCTGCTGTTGGTCTTCCCACATTAGTCTCTGCTGCTCACTTTGCAATAATTTTGGCAGAATTCCTTATTGTTCTTCAAATGTCTCTTCATCTCCCCCTCATCCGGATGTTTTAATTATTTCAATTCCTCATATGCCTCCATTCTCAATACGATTTACCGTACGATTTACAAATGAGCACTCGACCAAAGAAACCTCATTTCAAGTTGAATGCTGCTACTCAATAGTAATAATATTCTTACAGTCCGATTTCAGGTTTTGCCACAGAGACTGCATTTCAGAACAACTGTTCAAGTTTAAACGAGTGACTCCGGTAACCATGCTATGCCGTTTGTTTTATGGTTCAATCAATTTGTCATCTACGGTTATGTGGTTAAATAAGAATAGTTTTAACTCTTTTCTAAAAGTTGTGTTCTGCTTTTCAGATGTATGCCAGAGCTGTATGGGTGGAGAAAGGCAAGGAGATGGAGGGCACTTTTCCCTTCAATTGGGTGAAGGGCAATCAAATATTTTGGCCTAGGCAGAAGGCTCAGTCTGCTTTTAAAGCAAAAATTAATCCAGGGGATGACTGGTTGTCATTCCCATTGATAAAAATTAAAGTCACTTCAGGTATATTTGGATGTCCTATCTTGGTATACTTGACTCCAACTGTTGACCCAATTGTTTGTGGAAAGAGCTGGAATTGTATTGAATTTTACAGACAATTTACAGGAGTGTGAGAGTTATGCTCTGACCAGCCAGCAAGAGGAGGAGGAGGAGGGCGGGTGTAAAGAAATCATTCTCCCCAGAAAAAACTGGCCAAGGGGTGCTTTGAAGATTACATCACTGGTATTTCTGTTTAATATCATATTGATTATGACAGCATAAATAGATGGTTCTCACCCCATTTCCAGATTCTGATGATGGAGAGGAGAGCAGAATGGGTAAGTGATAATGGATCTTATGCTGAAGCACTGTTTCAACAGGGGCCTGTCAAGACTATTGCGCACTAGACTAAGCAACTTGCTGATTTAAAATGAATCCTCTATGAAGGGATAATGTGTCAATGGCATAGCAGGGCTACAGAAAATGAACAGTTAAATTAAGCAAGAAGCAGTAGTTGCCAGGTTTACCCTTAATTTTTCTGTGATCTAATATTAATGTTTAAATTTTCATTGATACAGGTGATCTGAATGGTTACATTTTATGTTCACAACACATGTATGCCTACAGCACACATCTTACTCACATTATCCTAAGCGCACCATACAAGTTTAATACATGGCACATTGTACCACACCTTCCAGCTTATGGTTTGCCCTAATCAAGATTATGCCTGGAAAATTGTCAGCACTCAAAGGAAACATTATTCGTAATAACCTTGATTTGTGGACTTTTTATGTTCTTGAAACTAGGTGGAAAATTACTGCCCTTCCCTATTCCACCTGCTGACATTTATTCTTGTGAGTAAAAGCTATACAAATGTAGATGATATGGCATTAGAATGACAGCATATTTGACTATGTGGATTGTGTTCTATGTTAAAACAGTGGTGCAAGAACAGCTTTTTTGTTAATGCAGGTAAAAAATGCTTATTGTTAATCAAACAGGGGTTCCAAAACCACTGTTCATTTCTTATGAACCTGTGGCAATTTGAAATGTTTTACATATTTGGGCACCATTATTGATGATGGACTAAATGTATGTGAGAATGTAGATTCAGCACATGACATGTTTATGATTTCCAAAGGAAGTTGTTAAACAAAGTCTTGCTTGTTTCAGATACTCAAAGTACATCTATTCCTGTCAATCGGGAAATGTCTCCAGTATGTGAGTATTTGTCATGTCTTCATTTCAGGTCTGTAGTTTAGTCTGTTTAGGTTGTGTACACTTTCAGACTGTAAAGAAATGCCAATTCTCCAACTTCCGCTTTTAATACAGGTTAGCAAATATGAATAACACTGTAGTTCTCAAATTCGGAATATGGGAATTTGAAGTCAACAATGGTCATTTTGAATGTCTAATAATGTGTGATAAACCCTGTAATTATTTGACACATCCAGATTTCCACCCATTATTTTCCAGTTCCTTCTTCCTCTACAACAAGGAACAAGGATGGGTTTCAAGAACGATCCTCCCCACTGAGAGCGAGGTGGCGTTCACAGAGGTCCCGGTCACATCCCGTTCCCGTCAATCCCCCCCACAGAGAGAGAGGTCCCGGTTCCCGTCAATCCCCCCACAGAGAGAGAGGTCCCGTTCCCGTCAATCCCCCCCACAGAGAGAGAGGTCCCGTTCCCGTCAATCCCCCCCACAGAGAGAGAGGTCCCGTTCCCGTCAATCCCCCCCACAGAGAGAGAGGTCCCGTCCCCTCAATCCCCCCCACAGAGAGAGAGGTCCCTTCCCGTCAATCCCCCCCACAGAGAGAGAGGTCCCGTTCCCGTCAATCCCCCCCACAGAGAGAGAGGTCCCGGTCACATCAATCCCCCCCACAGAGAGAGAGGTCCCGTTCCCGTCAATCCCCCCCACAGAGAGAGAGGTCCCGTTCCCGTCAATCCCCCCCACAGAGAGAGAGGTCCCGTTCCCGTCAATCTCCCCCACAGAGAGAGAGGTCGGGAAGAAATTTGTCTCCCCACTTTCCAATGTCCACAGCAAGTAAGTTTACATTTTTAATACATCAGAGGAAGCATAATGAATGATGCATCTAATGTGCATGATAGTAAGTAAGTTTTTATTTATATACCGCCTTTTCACGGCAGATCAGAGTCTCAAAGCGGTTTACAATTGTTAATTTTTGGGCATTTGTCTCTCACTCCACACAGAGATGGGAGCGGGGTCCGCCAGTACAGGAGGCACATGCCAGAACTATTGGACATATTTTTTAGTGGTAGGGGAAACCGGAGTACCCGGAGGAAACCTACGCAGACACGGGGAGAACATGCAAACTCCACTCAGAAAGGCCCTGGTCCGACCGGGATTCGAACCCAGGACCTTCTTGCTGAGAGGCGAGAGTGCTATCCACTCAGCCACCGTGCCGCCCTATTTTTGTTAATGTTGTTAGAATTTCAGAAAAAGGTGTTGGCAAAATTAGTGGCCATTCACATGGACATTAAAAGGGCTCTTCAGCGACCCACTCACCACACATCAAATCTGAAAGGGCTAGAAGAGATGTCAGAGTACTTGAGCTTGGAGGAGGATCTAGCCGACGAGGACACCTTCCAGAGCATGGTGAGTTTTCCACAAAGGAAAATGGCTTGCTTAACGTGGTGTTGACTGTTGGTTTGCAATTCTTGGTCAGAGGAAGTAACCTAACTAACCTAACTAATATCTGTGATATGAAAGCTGTGGCACCAAATGATCCCCTAAATGAATAATACACATAGCATGTCATGTGTCCTGACCATAGACTGTATATATTAATGGACAGAGTCACGCCTATCTCTGCCGTTCTAACTAATGGGCCAAAAAATGTGCTCTACTGGAGCAATCCAAAATGGCCGCGAGTGGTCCCGCCCCACAAGAAAATTGTGAAAAAAACGCATCTGCGCATGCGTCAGCCGGCGCAGCTCCATTCATTTGAACGAGAGACTTCAAAAATTCACAGCAAGTAAACTAGAGTGGACCAAAAAAATCCACCCCCCTCAGCATTGACACACATGTGGAACGGAGCTTTGGGCCAAGAGCCGACTTTTGGTCCATCCTGTAAAGACGTTTTTGAGAGGTCTGCCAATGCTATATGTTAGCATTGGCTAATTCTACTTCTGGGTCCACCCCCATCGGCCCGGGGTGGTATTGCAGCATGTCAGCGCACGTCATTTAGGCCACTTTTGAGCTGGGACCCTCCCCCACTGGTCCTGACATGTTTTCTAACCTGGTCTTATGTTTACTTCCAGCACTGAATGTGATGTCCTCTTTCTCTTTTGTTCTCTACAGTTGCAGCAGCTTTCTCGGGTTGGAGGGAAGGACCTGAAGGACTGTGTCCACAAAGTTCTTGACCGGTAGGTTGTGTTATCGCTTTTGGCAGTTAACCCTTTATGTGCCAGGGGTTCTGTCATAATAAACTGGATTCAGACATCTTAATTTCATAAGGCTGTAACTTTCAACTTTGTGTCATCCTATTTATTTCACTGATAGTGTCTTATCATTTGTAAGTTAGGTATTCAATTCACCTATCAAATTGGCATATTAAGTAGTCAGTGGTGGCAATCATGATTTTAGAATTTGAATGACATGTTTTACTGACAGACATATCACTAGGACATGAACACTCTAACTTAACTATTTCACTGAACATTTAGCATGGTGCAATGCTAGTTCTGTTAAAGTTCAGTGTAAATCAATACTGTAAGCAGCCTGGGAAGTCCCTGCTGTCCCCCTGTCTCTAGGCTCTCTTTCCCGTACAACAAGATTAAGGCTTCTCCATCACTTTACTGCCCCTGTGATTTTGGGGATGCACAATAATACATCCATGGGAGGCACAAGCAGGTAGTTGAACAGGTGTTGTACTCTCTAAACACTGTACAAAACCAAACTCAAAACACAGCTGTTCACAATCTCTATTTCAGTCTAGTCCTTTGTCTTTCTCTTGTTGTTAAATTGATTGATTCTTGTTCTGTATTTTAATTACATGCATAGTGTTTATGTCCTCGGGTTTTTAAATACTCTTAGAATGTGTATTATTGGATATTGTTCAGATATCTTTTAATGAGGCATCTCTTTCCCTCAGATTGTTCTGCAACTCTCTGACGAGCCACTTTAATATGAAGGGCAGGGGACACAAGGGGAAAATGCCTTTTGAAAAGAGCAATGTGTACAGGGCAATACAGGGTAAGTGGATGTCAGGCCTCATTTGGGGCAGTGGTTTTTTTGGCATTCAAAGACAGTTCTGAGGTGTTGCAGAATACTTGACCACATTATGTTGAAAATAAACTGTTACCCCACATTTTCAGGTGCTGTTCTGCTACATTGTAAAGAGGGGACTGAAGACGAAGTGAGGATGTACTGTATGTTGGGGATCACCTCAAACATGCCCCAAGACGTGGAAGGCTGGCCTAAAAGAGGAAACTTTCTCCATTCACATGCCTTACATGTAATAAATTCACTTGCCATATCCCTTTCTGATTGTTTTTTTACAACTCGGGAACTAGGGCTGGGCGATTAATCGATTTTAATCATTAATTCGAGTTTTACGTTTAGGGCGATTTCTTTTTTTAAAAATTCGATTTTTATTTTCTCCAGCGCAGAACTACAGCGCTAACGCGCTAACCGCGGGTCTATGGTGTTGAACAGTCATTTTGAAGCTAACCTAATGCTAACAGTCTCCCTCTGGCCTGATGCTCGCTCTCACAGTTGGTGCTGTTGCAATAACACTTCAAACGTTCAAGAATCAGACTTTATTTAATCGCCAGAACACACACACACACGCACGCAGGCTCCGGTCGCTATGTTCGTACGCCACATCTTTCACGCTCTCTCACGCTCGTTATTCCAAAGCGCACTCCCGTGTCCGTGGCGCGCACACACTCGTGTCCCACTGAGCCGCTGCACTTTGGGGAAAGACACGTCTCACACATTGCTCTCATTGCTCTGATACAAACAACGTGTTCCCCCGCTGTCTGTTAGCTACAGTAGCTGCTACAGTAGCTGTTAGCTACAGTAGCTTCTACAGTAGCTGTTAGCTACAGCATCAGAATGTAAACAGGAAGCTCGCACAATGCGGGAGTCACTGAAGTTAGTATTAGCGCCACCAGCTGGACCGAGCGTTGTACTACAGCACAGTTACTCAGGCACAGTTGAAAGAACAAGCATGAAAACCCGAGGAGAATGTCTGTTACAACATTTCTATTTTGAGTAATCAGTTTTAAAAATGTGATATTACATGTAAATAATGCATGTGTTTAATAGGATTGATATATTTGCGATGGGCCTTGTTTGTGTGATTTAAGTTATTTTGAAGGTGCATAGTGTCATTGTAAGTGAAGTTATTATAAAACTGTTAAGCTACATTTTCACTGTTTACAATGGCAGAGCCATCTCGTTTACAAGCATGTTTTAAGGCTTAATTCCTGTTACACTTATGCTCCATGGGGATTTAGATTCAACTGCATAAAGGAAAATCTATTTCTTTGTCAGTTGTAGTTTGTTTTTAAATAGAAAAAAATAAATCGATTAAAATCGAAAATCGGATTTGGTGTGAAAAAATCGGAGATTTTTTTTTTTTGCCATATCGCCCAGCCCTATTGGGAACCTAGAGTGACATTTTCTGAATGTGGTGTTGAGCATGTTTTGATACTGATCCGAACATGGTTCATGTGTTCTCTTTAGCATCAACTTTTCAGTATGTTTGTAGTAATGACACCTTCATCACTGTGGCCTAATAGGGATCAAATTATCCTCAAGTAGAACTTGTATGTACATGTTAATTATAATCTATAAAATAAACGCATGTAGTTAGGTGTTGTCTTGATGGCTACAAGTGGGAGCCTGAAACTGCATGCCAGCAGTGTTTGGCAAGTTACTTTGAGAATGTAATGTGTTACTAATTACTATAAGAAGCTAGTGTATGTTACTTTTTGTAACAAAATCATGTTCATTTGCTTTAATTAAATAAAGGTGAAATGCAAATGAGTTCTAATGTATATTTAGGCTGTGCTTATCGTTTATTGCTAAATGTTATGTTAGGTATGTGTGATATGCAGCTCGCGGAAATTCAATTTGGTAGACGTCAGCCAAAAGCTACCCCCTCCAGGCCGGTTCGCATCCCCAGCCTATCGCACAGCAAACGCCCCCTTCCAATCATCCGTGCCGGACAGGCAGCCGCTTAAAAGCGGAGAAACTCCCACTTCACGGCCTCTCGAAGCCTCGCAAGCCCTCGAAGCCTTGCAAAGAATCGTCTGGAGGAATCGTTTTCGTCTACTCACGCTACTCGTGCGTGTCCCTGGCGTCCTCCGTTTGCTGCGTGTGGTCTGCTCCTCCTCCGCGTCCCTGCACCTGCTGTGGTTTGCGCGTCTCCACTGCTCTCCTCCTCTGCGGGCTCTTTCTGCGGGCTGCTCCGCGGGTTCCGTGCTGCTCGTTCCTCGTGGTCTGCTGCCGCGCGCAGACGGTCTGGCGGTGCCGTGAGTGTCCCTGCCTCCGTCGGCGTGCCGCGTTGTCCCGTTGCTTTTCCCAAGTCTCCTGGCATGTGTGTGTGTTGACCGCGGACGGATTAATCCCGGAGTCTGGGCTGCAGGATTGGTCTTTGCCCTGCGCACTTGACTGCAGGCGTCAGTTTTCGCCCCGTGCTTGGTCTGCAGGCTTCGTTTTCACACGTGTTTGAGCTAACTGAGGGGCAATGCATATTAAATGGCATCAATCTCTATCGTCTGGGGATATAAGAGGCGCAATGCGCATTAATTCAGATTCATGTTCTGCCACTTGCAGTAAAACCACGTCGGAAAAATCTGTAAGACTACCCCATTGTGCTCCAGACGGCACACACCAGAGCTCTGGCCACGGCGCCGTCTTTACAGCATTAATCTCATTACTCGCAGGTCACTATTGTTAAATGATTGTATTAAATTCGTCTATCTGCGGGAGGAAGGAGGGGCCATGCATTTAAATAGCTAGGTCACTGGTATTCAATTAGGTAACTAAACTGCAGTTGTTGCATTTGAAAGTGCAGCAGAAAGAAAAAGGGCCCAATGTGAATCTGCAATGGGTTTGAAGTGGTGTTGGAGCTAATGAACGCATGGAACAGTGATCGTTCATGCGTATCTGCCATAACCAAAGCAGCAAGATGGCTCCAGGGGACGTCTGTTATTCGCATGGGAATGTTTCGGATTCGGGTTGATTTATTTCCTCAGGCTGTTAAACAACCGTGGGCATGGTTCTCTGACCGCCGCTGCTGCCGGTCCCTGCTGCCGTTCCTACTGATGCCTGATCCCGCTGCTGCCTGTTCCCGCTGCTGCCTGTTCCTGCTGCCGCTCCTGCTGCTGCCTGTTCCTGCTGCCGCTCCTGCTGCTGCCTGTTCCTGCTGCTGCTCCTGCTGCTGTCTGTCCCCGCTGCCTGCTCCTGCTGCTCCTACTACTACATGTGCCGCTGCTGCTGTTCCTGCCGCTGCCGCTCCGCAGGCTCCCAGGCTGCACCTGTCTCTACGGCTCGGCTCTTTCAGACACGTATGTAACCTGGCTCACAGAGACAAGCGGCGCACATTGGCGTGACACGTCTGTTGTTCGTATGAATCGCATTG